TGATCCTGAAATCCGAGGAGACCTCCTCGGAGCAGGGCTGTGAGGCAGAAGCCAGGAAGGCCAGGCAGCAGAGCAGGGAGGGGCAGAGGGTGTGGCCCTGGAGGGGAGGCTGCCCGTGCACAGGCAGGAGTGATGGTCCAGGGTGGGGAGCGCCGCCCATCCTGTCTCTCAGCAGGCGGAGCTGGCAGTGAACTCTTCTGATGATTGGGAAGTGCTGGGGCTGAGGGGGTCTCCTCCGTCACCCTGAGGCTGTCGGGGCAGCAGTTCCCAGTCCCTCGGAGGCCCGTCTTCCCTCCAGTTCCGGCCACAGAGAAGTAAAGGGGAGGCTGTGGGCTGGGGGCCCCTCCTGATAAAAGGAAGGGCATCTCTGCCCCAGGCTTCCTGCCAGGGTACTGGGAAGTGGCTCATGCCCAGAGTTGCGTCAGCCACTCTGCGACCACAGGTGGCAGGCCTCCGGGGTGGAAGGGGGCTCCAGGAGCTGCTGCCCAGACCTGGAGCACCCACCCCAGGCTTCTTGGGCGGGGAGTGAAGTAAATCAATGTCTTTATAACTTAAAACACTGTCAATCAGATATTCTGCTATTTACAGCCAAGCACTGTCTACCTGATATTAACAAGTGCAAAGGTTTTAAAGACACTGAGCCACTTATGTGGCTGAGGAGTGGCTACAGGCGGCCCGTCCACCCTCTGCCTCGTGGTTTCCCCTGCAGACATGCCAGAGGGTGGGCAGGTTTGACTGTAGGTCCAGGGCTAGGCAGTTCGCCCAGGACCCAGGCTCATCTCAACTGCAGGCTAGTGGCCTCCGTACCCTAGGCTGGCCACACTGCAGTATCCAAGGGCTCCCAAGAGACCTCTCCATGCCTGCAGCCCATGCTCTCGCCTGTGCTCTGTGGGGCTCTTTCTGGTCCAGGAGAGCTGTGTCTGAGATGAGACAGGTGGGAAGAACACCCTCCAAGCAAAGGAAGAGCGAATCAGGAAACGAGAGACAACGGCCTGAGCGCGTGGGGAGCACGGACAGCCTCGGAACACACTGTGGAGGCTACAACAGGCGGGTGGCTTGTCCCGGGGACCTGTCGGCCCTGGGGAGGCCACCGACACCTTGCAGAGATGACAAGTGAGCCCCTTTACTGAAACCCCAGGGTGGGAACCTCTTCTGTCTGCCTTTCACGCCTGTATGTCCGAAACCACACGCAGGTCCTAAATAAGGTGTGGTGCTGGGTTCAAGGGTCAGTTTTGCCACATCTCAGCATGAGAGACTGAGGTGGGGTGTGGTCAGCAGGGAAACATCTAAAGTGGCCAGAGCCCAGAGCGTGTGTGCGATGGGCCCGCAGACAACGAAGCTGTGAGGAGGGTCTCCCCCCAGCCTTTCCCCTTTCGGCTCTGTCTGCATCAGGCGTCAAGTCCAGGAAAAACCCACCGATGGCTCCTGCCCATTGCTGTGCTGGGACAAGGGCTCCGGCCCAGGAGCTTAATGATGCCCACGGAGGGCCCGCTCGGAGCCCCACCTCGAAACCTGACTCACGGGCAAGACCGGGCACGAGGCCAAGCCAGACAGACACTCCTAGAAGTGCCTCTTCCAAGGAAAGCCAGGAGGCAGGTGCGCTCAGTGCTCCTGGGGTAGGTTATTTCCAGGGAAGCTCATGACATAAGCCCTGGCCCGGCCATCACACCCCCTCCTCCACAGTGGGAAATACCCGGGGCTCCGGGCCGCACGTTGCTCAACCCTGGATCAAAGCAGAAGCCCAGAGGGAAGCACATCCGCCACAGGCTGCTCCACTGAACACCGGTTCCCTATTCCTGATCTTCGTGCTGTACCTTTACTTCCACACAAAGACACGCGGGCAAGCTCTGCTGGAGGACAGCCACCTGGGTGTGTCCAAAAGGACGTGCGCCTACATGTGCGTGGCTGCCAGTGTGCAGCTGCCGACAATCGCCGAGAGCACGGGGGCCGGGCGAGAGATGCCCTTCCGTGGGGTTGGTACACAGCCCGGCAGCTGTGCCACTGTCCCCTTCTTCCTCCTCCCCAGTCTGTGCTGGCCCTCCCCACTGGCCAGTGCATCCCAGCCCGCCCTCTCCATCCAGACGCCAAGAGCAGGACCAGCTGGGTTTTCCTGACCTTTGGGAAAGGATGCTGGACGAATCTAGCAAAGCCACACCACATGACGCTCATTCTTTGAGTCTAGACAATCTCTTCTCACTCCAAGACTGCAAGACTTAGAGGCTGTGGTCCCCACTGTTGGGGGGTCTGAGGCGGTCCTGTCCTGCTGGGAGGGACTCTGCTTGTGGGAGGTCTGGCCCAGCAGCTTGGGGGGCAGCTGGGCTCACCCCAAAGCCAGCAGTGCCAGACCAGGCTGCGCTGACAGCACAGCCACAAGATCCAGGCCACTTCTCCTGCCCCTCATGAGAGTATGAACATGTGTGTGCACGTGTGTGTGCACGTGTCTGCAGTATGTATACAAGAAAGCAAAGGAGAAAAAGACCAGGAAAGGCCAGCACCCTTAGGGGGTTTTTTCCCCTCAGAAAAGAATGCTTAAAAAAAAAAGCCTATGGGTGGAGCGTCCTCTCTGGGTGCAGGCTCTGGAGGGTGGGCTCAGATCAGAGAGCTGCTTTCTCCTGGGCAGAGTCAGTCCAGCCCCCCAGGCCCTGCGTTGACCGGGCAGCTCTCACTGCACCCGAGGTGAGCGGGAAGGAAACTTCCCCACCCGGAGCAGACTGCACACAGCCTTCAGCACATTTATGTCAAGGCTTCCGCAACTTTTACATTTCCTGCACAGTCAACATTTAAAGAAAAATTGCGGGGAATACGTGTACTGTATCTTTCATTTTGCCAAATAAGGTCATTTTAAAAACAAAGAAAAAAAACATCCCCTCTCTACCATCTACTACAACATCATTTAACAAAGAACAGTTCCACCCCAAAAAAGCAAGGACGACATAGTCTAAGACTAAAAAATAGGTTTTTAAGTTGAATAAGTGAAGAGTCTTATGAAAAACGCAATACACATTTTCCACATATTTCTCATTTCTGCGACTGCAGAGTCCTCAGGAGTCGTGTATGTGCAGGTGTGTACGTGCATCTTTGTCTGGAAGCAGGACAGAGCACATCAGGGCCCACTTAGCTCTGATCTTGCAAAACTGCTTTTTAATAATAAAAATAAAGAAAAATGTAAATGAGAGAAAAAGAGAGCTGGAAGTACAGAAGACATGAGCTAAACTAAAGAAAACACATACAAAAAGACAGGAGGTGGAATAAAGCAAGGAGGGTTTCATGCAAGCTCTCTGCATTTCTGGTGCCCCTTCTCTCCACAAAAACCCCAGGAACCCGAGACCCTGCTCGACTCTCAAGCCACTGTTGTCACCAAGTTTCTGCTGCGAAGATGCGATGCTGCAGCTCCACAGAGAAGACAAAAAAGATAACCCTTCCCTCATGGTGTCTGAATACAAATACCAATCTGATAAATACTAAACTAGGAATGAATACAATAAGCTGCGACACCTCCAACCATTCACTCTCAAGACACGTTAACACTCCTTTCTTGAAGAGGCAGAATATGGAATCTGCTTCTTTGGAGACACTTAGTGTCTTTTGACACACTTGCACTACCTTACCTAATGCTACAGAAATTGTGTGGCACAGGTATTTCACAGGGGAGACAAGTGAGCTTCAAGTGACTTGCCCAGGGAAGCACAGACAGAAAGCGAAAGCAAACATTTCCAAAAGCCTCAGTTCACTCAACCACTGCACATCTGCCACCGGCAGAAGGGGTGTGCATTTAATATAAACCTGACGACGCCTCCAATTCTGCAAATCACGCAGAACGCGTCAGCCTGGGGTCTGTGGGGTTGTCGCCACTGTGAGAACCTGAACTTTCACGTGTCCTGACTTTGTGAGGCAGGGTGGTAGTGGGGACCAAGCTAAAATTCTGATGTGTTACTGTTGTCTCCGGTCAGGGTTCTGCATTTCAAATTCCTGGAAGATCAGAGGGGAGTTTGTGAGGAGTACGGCCAAGACAGAAAACTGACCTCTCTGGCGCGTCTGCGGTGACCGAATGCAGTTAGTCTCCAAAGGTCACAACCCTCTTACTAAGCATAATTAGCAAGAAGAATTCCTGC